CAACCACCCAATAAAGCATTACAATAATCTAACCTTGAGGTCATGAACGCATGAATTAACATTTCTGCATTTGACATTAAGAGCATAGGTCACAATTTAGATATATTTTTGAAATGGAAAAATGCAGACAAATACTAGAAACGTGGCTTTCGAAGGAAAGATTGCAATTAAATAGCGCACCTAGGTTCCTAACTGATGACGAAGAATTAACAGAGCAGCCATCAAGTGTTAGACAGTGTTCTAGGTTATTACATGCAAAAAAAATTGTTGTCCTATAATTAACACCTCTGTTTTTTCAGAATTTAGCAAATTGTAGCAACACCTCCCCCTTTACCTTTCAGACGCGGCTCATGTTTATAACAGTAATCTTGGGGGGTAGACTTGTTTAAAATAATGTAATCATCAGGTTTTAGCCAGGTTTCTGTCAAACGGAGCACATCTAGGTTATGATGTCAAAGTAAAGGTTATTGTTTTCATTTTATGATGTTCATGTTTTCTTCCCTTCAGATGGTTGCTTCCATAGAGGTTTTCACCTTTACTTTCTCAACCATCATTTCTCACGTCATGTCATGTTTGTTTGTTTACTTACTTAATTATTTTTTATTTTATTTCATTGACTTATGAACTGTCACATCTCACATTGTGTCATTAGTTTGTTCCCCAGAGGTCTTCACTTTCCTTTGTTTTTTATCTTGAATTTTTCAAAAGCGTACTTTTTTTTGTCACATTTACTTTTTTGAACCATTGCATCTCATTGTTTAATTAATTTATTTATTTTTTAGTTTGCATTTTTTTGTTGTATTATTTTATTTATATTTTTTATTTACGTAACGTTTCATCTGTCACATCTAACACTGAATTTTTTTGTTTTAAATCATTTTTAATTAATGCATTCTTCTTCTGTGTTTTATTCGATTTTACTTTATTTTCACATATTTTATTTTTTCTTACATCAATGTATTTATTCTTTTGTTTTAATTTGTAAAAGTTTTTTTTTTCATATTTTTTTCAAGTGTTTTTATTTTATTTATTATTTTTTTTTAATTTATTTTATTTTCATCTCTCCCATCTCACATCAATTTATTTATTTGTTTTAGCTTTTTTTAAATGTATTATTTCCAGATGTGTAGACCTTGCATTTTTCAAGGCTTTGTTATTTTATTTTATTTTATTTTCAACTGTAACATCTCACATTCTTTATTTTTGTTTTAAATAATTTTGAATTAATACATTTTCTTTTGTATTGTATTTTTGTTCCATTTTACTTTATTTAAATTTTATCTGTCGCATCTCACATGAATTTATTTATTAATTTGAGCTTTTTTAAATGTATTTTTCCTTGCCTTTGTCGAGCCTTTGTATTTTTATACACTGAACAAAATTATAAACTCAACACTTTTGTTTTTGCCCCCATTTGTCATGAGCTGAACTCAAAGATCTCCCTCAAAACTTGCGACATCTGTGGCATTGTGCTGTGTGATAAAACTGCAAATTTTAGAGTGGCCTTTTATTGTGGCCAGCCTAAGGCACACCTGTGCAATAATCATGCTGTCTAATCAGCATCTTGATATGCCACACCTGTGAGGTGGATGGATTATCTCGGCAAAGGAGAAGTGCTCACTAACACAGATTTAGACAGATTTGTGAACAATATTTGAGAGAAATAGGCCTTTTGTGTACATAGAAAAAGTCTTAGATCTTTGAGTTCAGCTCATGAAAAATGGGGGCAAAAACAAAAGTGTTGCGTTTATAATTTTCTTCAATGTATTTACTTGACTTTTCAAATGTCACATCTTGCATTCTTTATTTTTTGTTAAATTATTTTTATATATTTTTTATTGAATTGATTTATTATAATTTACTTCTCAACAATCCCACCTCATGTCATTTTATTCATCAGTTTATTTGAACTTTTTTAATAGTTTTAAATACCTTGCCTTTAGCAGCAGTCCCGTTTGACAGTGTTTTGTTTTTCCTTCAGCTTCACTCGACCAATCAGAAGCTTTGCTGAAATCACAGACTGTCTGTGTCTGATTACAGTGTCTCAATCACTTACCTGTGTTTGCTCAAATATGTTGACATTCCCCGTCTGATTGTAATTATTCCCTCAGTCTCAGTCGTTACGTGTCTGTATCTGCGTCTCTCATTCTCCCTCTCAGTCGCTTCATCTCCTAGATATTTCACCTCACTTTTGTCCATGTTCGCTCCATGTGACGGTTAATCTCTGTGACGCTCCTGATATTTTATTCAGTGCCTAATGAACTCAGAGACCCAGAACGAGCCGGCGGGATTCACAAGCTCTTTCATTTCAACCTCTTCCATTGGTTTCATGCCATGTAATTTAAACGTAATTTTGTGTAACACAGTTATCATGGACGTCAATGAGGCGAAACGATGAGCTGCACTGTAATTACGCGGCTCCTCGTTAGCTTTCCGCCAAGTCACATAGAAATCAAAGACTCTCTGTTTTGTAAACACGAGGCTTAATAGCCAAGAAAGGACATGATTCTGTATCTCAGCCACTTAATTTGGTTTGTTTTTGCGTTTCTCCTGGAGCTGCGGCCACAGTTTTATTGATTTTGCTCTGACTGTGGTTGATAAGAGCGGTCAATTCATTTCTGATTTCTAATAAATGTCAGAGAGAAAAGAACAACAGAGACCATCAGAAATAAGCCAGACACACACACACACACACACACACACACACACACTCACTCACTCCCTCACTCACTCACTCACTCACTCACTCACTCACTCACTCCCTCACTCACACTCACACACACACACACATACACACATAGGGGTGTGACACGTTCTTTTATGTGCAATTATCACAAATTACGGGAAAAGATGAGTTTGATGAGGGGGAACTCACTCTCTCCATCTCTCTCTCACACACACACACACACACAAACACATGGCTGAAATGCGTAATGCAGAGTCCAGTCGGCTTCGGCCCCTAAATGGATGCCAACAC